CCAAAAAAACCAATTGAATTAAAAAACAACAAAAAAAAAAAAAAATAATTATAATAATTTTAATTGTATTGAATTTAGTTATATTTATATACAATCAAAACATTTTTGGCTAAATTGTGTAGCCCTATAAACAAGCACAGCAAACATGGTTCTTAAATAAATAAATAAATAAATAAATACATAAATAAATAAATAAATAAATAATTATTAAATACTTTACTTTAAAATTATTATTAAATATGGTTTAATAACCATTTACATTTTTCAATTTTCACAATCTGTATTGTTAAAAGCGCTAGATAAATAAAGGTGACTTGACTTGACTGTGCTTTGGTGTTTTTAAGACCAGGGACAGTTTGGCGCACTTTGTCGCGTGCATGCGCTCTCTAGTGGCCAAGAGTGCAAGTATGCGTATTTGGACAAGGCCAACGTGTGTTTCCGCACACAGTATCTCACCCAGCTGCATGGCGGAGCGCGCCTGGTTGACCGTCTGCTGGCTGCACATGCGCAGGCAGTTCTTCAGATGCAGCTGCGGAGACGACGGGCTGCTGAGCGGCGTGCTGGAGCGGGACGCAGACGTAGATGCCAGCAGGACCGGACTGGAGGGACCGGCGGAGCCCGGGGATCCAGGAGCCTGAGGCTGAGCCGCTCCAGAGAGACACGAGCGCGTCTGACCGACGGCGAACGGAGCCCTGCGGAAACACACACACACACACGTTGTGTTTCTATGTTTTATAAGGACTTTCCATACGCGTAATGGTTTTTATGCTGGACAAACTGTATTTTCTATCACCATACACCTAAACCTACCCCTTAAAGGAAACTTTCTGCATTTTTAGATTTTCAAAAAACTATATTCTGTGTAATGTATAAGCTTGTTTCCTCATGGGGACCTAAAAAATTTCCCCACAAGGTCAAAATTTACTGGTATTAGTATCCTTATGGGGACATTTGGTCCCCAAAAACATGATAAATACCAGGTACACACAAACACACACTCACACACACACACACACACACACACACACACACACACACACACACACACTACTGAACACATTCTCTCACTAGAGATTCACAGCATTTCAGCACAAACCTGCAGGTTACGCATCTCTCAACATTTCTGACTTTATTTCTGCTGTAATAACAAATCTGCTCTTTTCAAACTGATTTATTTACTGAAATTAGGGGTGGCAATATAGTAAAATAGATAGATGATAAATAATTTAAATGAAATTCCATAATTCCAGAAGTTGAAACTGTTCTTCAGCTTTTACACTTTTTATTATCAATGAATTTAACTGACTTTTCTAGTTGTTTGTGTTTTTTTAATTCACAATTTATATTCATTATAAATACTTCTATAACTTTTTAAGATTTTATTAATTTACATGACTTTCTTCATGTCTAAAAATCTAATTTTTAAAATTCCTACTATTTAAATTTTTTTTTTATAAATGTGGTCTATAAAACGTCCAGATGCACAATCAATAAATGAATGAATGAATGAATAAATGCATCCCATATGTGTGTGTGTGTGTATATATATATAGTAATGTTTTGCAATCAAACTAAAATCTAGTATTAAAAACAACAATAGCAGTTAGCAGGCTGTTGAGTGAGTTTTTCTCAGATTAAACGCTGGATCTGCTGTAGTTTTTGAGGTTCAGATGATCAAGCTCATGTCATGCAGAATAAAACACTGCTGTAAATCTTTGGAATTTGTTTATAAACTACAATAAACTTTCTTAATTTACATTATTTTACTACCATGAGTAGCTTGACTTTAGGTGAAAGTCAGAGATGTGATTGATTTGGCATTTGAATCTGAATCTCTTTCCACGGTTTTGTTTTGTAAAGCTGTGTTTTATTGTTTCAGTCTGGTTTTGTGTCAAATCAACATTACTGGATCTGTGCGAGTCTATTCTTTATCATCATCATCATCATCATCATCAGATGTTTGCAGTTAAACATGAGCCTTTGCACTGCTGTCTCAAAAACACCTGAAGTAAGGTGTAAATTCAGCGATCCAGTTTTAGACGTGTGATTCTGAGCCGTCGCTCTGGAGGATCGAATCAAGCTGCGTCTGCAGAAACTTCATGTGCAACACGCAAACACCTTCATATCATGCGATGCAATGAAAGCGGAGAGATAATGAGTCTGAGATGAGGTGAATCCTGCCGAGTGTGTGTGTGTGTGTGTGAGTGTGATTGAATTTAGATTTTTTTTTTTTTTTGCACCCTCAGATTCCAGATTTTCAGGACAGAAAATAGCTTAAAATTATGTAAAATTAGACAAAACAAATTAAAAATACAGGAAAAAGAAGAAAATTGTGAATAATTATTACAATTTAAAATAGCTGTTTTCTATATGAAAATATAGTAAACTGTAATTGATTTCTGTGATGCAAAGCTGAATTTGAGCATGCGTGTGTGTGTGTGTGTGTGTGTGTGTGTGTGTGTGTGCGAGCATGTGTGTGCGTGCGAGTGTGTGTGCGTGAGTGTGTGTGTGTGTGTGTGAGACCATGTGTGTGTGTGTGAGTGTGTATGTGTGTGTGTTACTACCCAGCGCTATCAAATTAATAA